TTAAATGAAAAATATCATACAGACAATTTTGTAAAGTTATATTTGAGTATTAATTTTTGTGTTTTTTAAGAGCTTTCTCGGGAACTTCATTTTTAGAAAATCGTTGGATAGATCACATTTAATGCTTACATGGGAAGTGGGGAAATTGTTCTGTTCAAAATCTTTTTTATTATAAAAAAAAGTTTTTTTTCTTCAAATAATTTTTTTTAAGATTGTTATCTAATATTTAGTTATTTGTAAGAATAACTCAAAATTACATATAATAAGACAGATTTTCTCAGAATAATTTTAATCAAAAAATTGGTGAAGGCAAATAAATATAAATGAATAGTTGCTATTTGATAATGAAAAATATAAAGAAATTTTGAAAAAGAAGTTATTCGTAATATTGTAAATAAATAGATGAAAACTTTTAGAATAGAAACAAATGGCTCAGAAAATAAAAGGAAACGTTAAACAAAAATCATTCATTTGTGGGGTAATATGCAGTAAAAATACACTTATGTAACGCATTATGTAACAGACATTTTCCATAAGGAGAATATCAAACAGTTTTTATAAGTACACTTCAAAAGTCAGCAAGTAAAGCTATTTTAATAAAAATAAATAACACTAAGCTAATAAAAGAGCTTATATTCTTCATCAAGCTTCTGAGTTTTTATCTAAAATTAAAAATAAAGTATTTTCACTTTATTCCTTTGGGTCCTTAGATAATGGATAAAAAATTTGCAGGTCTTTTATTTTAAATTTAGCTTTAATACTTCCATAGATACTCAAAGCACGGATCACAAAATTACTCTGTAACCTCATTAGTTACTTTTTCTGCTATATCCGTTAATGGATATTCCATACGAGCACTTATCCTCATGTTATAAGTTAAGTTGAAACAAAATTAATTTTATTCCTGTTTAAAATAGTTTGCTTTACCCGTATCGACCTTCTTGCGGGATGAGGCTCTTTTGGATTAAATGAAAATGCATTTTAACGTATAAAGACAAATTTATTATATAAATACTGAAGAATTAATAAATTTACACACGGAGAAAAAAATCTGGTAAAATTACAGTACCGTATGAGATTAACATTCCTGGTCTAAAAACCCACAATTCATGTTGAAAAAAAAATTCACCGTATTTAAGCCCTTCATTTATTCATTTGGTGATTCCTCTAATAATATGGTATCGGTTTACTGAAAATTCCGCTTTTCAAAATTATGGTTCGTATAACAGCATGTTTTGTAGAAAATACAAAACTGAAAGGTAACGGAATAAATAGTTTCTATGCCATGTTTCAAAGTATTATGATATTTTTACTAAATTTTATCGCATATTATGAGACTAAATTTTACTGTTAATTTTACCCAAATCCTTACTAAAACTATTCAGCAGAAATTACTGAGATTTTCTGTGTTTTCACAAAACCAGAAACACTGAAAATTGTACCATATTTTGTTTACTTTGACTATACTTTTTTCTCAGTGAAAGGATGCTACATAGTAATTCTTATTTAATATTTTTGTGAAGTGCAAGGTGACAAAGTTAACAGCTGAAACGTTAACTGTCATGCTGCAAGATCCACTGTAAACTAGTATGATTATAACTGATGTCACCAAATAGTCTACTCTACTTAGAGTCTTTACCTGAACTACAATCGAAAACCTCTCGGTTAATTTGGATCACCAAATTAAGGGGTTTAACAAACATCCAAAATCGAAAAGTAATTTACAGCTTTTCAATATGTTTCTATCGCTGTATCGTAAAATGCGTAAAAACAAAAATCCAATAATTTTTAATTTTAAATTTCAATAACCACTAAAATGTTTTGCATATGGGTGTAAACATTTAAGAAAACAGGCAAAAATGTACGTAATGCGCTTGCAAACAAAAAAGAACTGCATAGAAATTTGTTTATCACAAATTAGTTCATATTCTTCCATACTATTTTACTGAGACATCTCGTATTAATCATAACTGACACAGTCTAATTCTATAATTTTAAGTAAAATTAAATCTGTACCATTCATTTGTTTAAGATAACTAAAACTGTTTAAATGTCATTGTTCGATTTATTTTTATTTTTATAGTAATTCCCAACCAAAAATGAATTAATTATAAGTAAAGAAAAATGCACAGAAATAAGTGCTTTAAGGTTAACTTTCTTGTTTATCTGGTTGTTTATTTTTAGCCGAAATTTAAAATATTTAACAGTATGAGATTCTAACTTTAATTCTTATATAACATGCTAATTTACTCATCAGGCGTCTCTGCATTTAAAACGAAGCATTCCAGAAGGACATTAATTTAGTTTCTGATCGTTTTACGCAGAATTTAGTCTAATTCTTTCAGAACTAAGTTTTTTTTTTGCTATAGATAAGTTCAAGATAAAAAGAAAAGCAAAAATTCACCATGCTTTTGTAATAACGAAGGAAAGTACATAAGTGATTTTACGATCCGGGCTTAGGTCAATTTGCATACATAAGTGGTAGGAAAATTTTGCAATTACCAGGCAGGAAGAAATTTTGTTACGGGCTCAAAAACACTCTATTCCGTTTACAGTGTTTTGAAACTGAGTTTCCGTTGTCTTTGTACAATTAAGAGATTTTTTAAATTTGAATTGTTTTCATGCTCTATGATTAAATACTAGTTTTCTTTTAGCTGCAATTTCAAATGATTTTGAAAACTTTTTTTCTTTAAAAAACGAAAAGTGCTTTTTTTCCCTCCAACTTCCTTACTTATAATTTTCTTTGTATTTTATTGTACTATACTCTAGGAATTTTTTGGACATTGTAATTGATACTTTGTATTCATAATTAATTAGATTAATGGAGCATTTTCAAGTTAGATATAATTAATATTTTTTATTTAAATCCCTTAGAAAAGAAAATAAGGCATTTTTATGTTGACAGATGTAATAAACGCACCTGAGGTAGGAAATAAGGTTATGTTTTGTGCAAAAAATAATCTTATTAATAAATCTCAATTACAACCTCATTTACACGTCATGAAATCAACCACATATATTGCTTTTTTTACTTGATATCGAGTGAAATTATTTACACTTCAAATACACTTATTTGCTTGAAGTTCAAAAAAAATATCAAGTAAACCCAAAAAACAACCACCCTAAGCTGATTGCTAGATTTCCATTAACCTCAAAATTCAGTAAAACATCTTCATACACCTTAATTATACACTTTGGGAGGTTGTTCTTGAAATCAACTTCAAATAAACCTCAAACCTACCTTAATAACCCAAAACAGCCTCAAATAAACCTAGAAAATACCTTAAATTTTTGTAAGAGACTTTTATACGGAATTAGCACTGCAAACAAAAATCAGATGAAAGAAGAAAAAAGGTTTAGAGAGCAATTTAAGAAATATAGATCAGATTTAGAGAATATAGTACCTAATTAGAGCTAACGATTAATTAATAAACAAGATTCTAAGACAAGCTTTTGTTGAAAAACAATCTCAATATTTTTGTGATTTAGGATAACTCAAGTAAACTCAAATACATTTGTTAGGAAGGTAAATAAAAGTTTATTACTGTTATCTATACATAATGTGCTTGTACTTTTTCAGATACCAATAGTTTGAATAATGTTTTATAGTGTCGTCATACATAAATCAAGACAGTTCTAGCTATTACTATTTGGTACGATAATGATATTTCTGGTAAAAAAACAACATAATTCTAGTTAATAAAACCAAAATACATGGAAGTTTCATTTAAATATTTTTCCTTCACATGGTAAAGGTTTTCCCGACATTCCGGTTTTCAAAATTGTAGTTTATATTACCATACTTTTAGCAAAAAAAATACAAAACTGAAAAGTAAGTTTAACCAGATTACTGTTTTTTTGCCATGCTCTAAAGTATCATTATCAAATTGTACCACATTTGCCAAATTTAATGTTGTTGTTGACGCATGCCAATGAGGCAAAAGGGGAGCGATTGTTCTTGTTTTCCAGTGACTCCATTTATGGCCAAGAATTCGACATCTGCCGCACCCATACGTCACACCCGTTTATAGGGTGGATCCATTCATACATCGATTTATTTTCCACAGATCGTAATTTTGACCTGAATCAGAGAACGATCAATCTCCAATTCAGTACCCCCAGAGGTATTGGTTTGTTATGGGAATATGGAGAACTTTAGGACTCGACAGATTTAACGTGCATCAATCACCATTTACAACACGGGGAGTCTTTGGCCGGCAGGGATCGAACCCACGACCACTTGGACATGAGCCACGTGCCGTACCAACCAGGCTATCCCGGTCTACCAAATTTAATCACATATTATAAAGCAACATTTTATTGTTAATTTTGCAAAAATTACTACTAAATCACTTCAGTTGAAATTACCAAAATTTTGGTGTTCCCATAGAGTCAGGCATTCATACATATTTTCTTTATCAATCAGTTTGATCATAGGTAAAATTAATTTTATTTTACCCATTGGCAAAATGGGTATTCATTTGGATTTGATGGCGTTCACACGCTTTTCAACTGTATTCAAGAGTAATAGTGAACAGTGAGCATGCATCGTCATTCAATGCGTTGCTATGGCGACCGCAGCCGTTTTTATTTTTATTTTCACTATCAGGCATTTTTAATGTATTTGCATAATAATAATTTAAAGTACTTTTATATCCTTTTTATTATTAACGTATAATTACTGGTTTGAAGGAGATTTTAATATAAATATGAATGCTGAGGAAGGAAAAGTATTTTGTGAAGTCCTGAAACACGTACAGAGGCAAGATTTGAATACCAATCCGACGACTAACATCAATTGAGATAGTTTTTGCAACCCACGATTTAAAATGTGGTGTTTAACGGAGTCAATCCAGAGAGAAAAAGTATTTGACCAATTATGGGTAACCAGTAATCGTAATAAGGCTATTACAACTTTAATGTTATTTTATTTTTAATTTTTAAAATTAATTTTGAATTTGCTGAGCAAATACTTAAAAAGCAATTTTTTCCTTTTTCAGCTTGCAAATATTTCAAGTCCAGATGTGCGTTTACTTACATCTAACTTAGAAAAAATTCTACATAAAGGTAAGTTTCAGTTTGAGTATAGGGATATTTTTAATAATTATTTAAGTTATTTGAAAACGAGGTTGGAAAATTATATTCTAGGAAGGCTTTTCATGAAAACTAAACGTTAAGAGCAAAATCCTGTAGATTGTATATAATGGAGAAGAGCCAAATCCTATTAAAATAATTTCAGCTGGAGATACAAATTAAGGAATATAAAACGAGCAATTTTGTTTTTAGGAAATGTGATCGAAGGCATTATGTATCGATCGATATTTATCAGGGTTTTACAATGAAACTGACATTTTATTTTATATTGTAGTATGAAATGTAATGCAATTGTATAATTAAACTATTTAATCAAAATTTTGCAAGCTGCGTCGAAAAAGGGGGACTAAAATCGAAAAAAGGGAACTATAAACATGGAATACTCTACTAATTTCAACTGGAAATTAGTGCATAATTTCATTATTATGCAATAATAATTTTCTTAATTGATAATGAAATTTATGTGCTACAAATTGACCATTGGAAAATTTATCAATACATTTTTAAATACTGTTGGCGACAGAAATGTAACAATTCACCCACTTATTCTTCATACCAAAAATTAAAGCATTTTTTTCGTCTTGAAAAGTACACTATTATTCAATTCTCTGGAAGATATGTTAAGCTATGTTTTTAATTTCTAAATACTTAAACACCGTTCAATACCTGAATAGAATAAAAAATAAACGAATATGTGAAAAAGTCGTTCTCTAATTATATTGGCTTTGGCATCACCTAAAGATTATGGTACAGAGCCAATTAATACACTGTAAAAAGGAGATATTCAAATTTCACTAAACTTTCATCGTTTTTTACGAAACCGTTTCCTGATGTAGGATCTGAAGGAACATTTCGTCAATATAACATGATATCTATCATCACTTTTTCGAGCATACGAATTCCATCAATATTTTAATCAATAGAAATATTTCGTCACTCTAATACTAAGTTACTCTATTACTACTCTATACTACTATTCTATATACGTCACTCTAATACTACTCTAAAAAACTAGTAGCGCCAAATGTAGGCCATTTAACGTTGCGTCTTTTCTAATAATCATTTAATGGGGGGGTCACCATAGAGCTGGATCAGCATTGCCTTAACAACACCAAAAGGACAAATTGAACAGAGAGATAAGTTACACGCATGTCCGAAGCGAGATTCAAACCCGGGAAGAAGACCAATTCCTTGCCCACTATACATGCAGGTTGACTTTTTTCGTAACTTCATTTTCGATCGTTTAGCCTCCATCCTAATTTCGTCATTCTAGTTAACAATCTCCCACAATACACACCACGATGAAATTTCAAATTTGGAAACTTTTTCGTCACATGCTTGAGAGTTCAAGCTCTGTCACGAATCACGTGATTTCATAGCGAAATGATTCTCAAAATTAACGAAAAGCATCAAGGATTGCTGAATCGTCAAAAGCGAAAGTTTCCTTTTTGAGAGGGTACTGAGTCATAAATAATAGAGATATTGAATCGTAATTAAATGAAAGGGAAATAGTTTCTACTAAGGTACTTATAAAACTTCTAAAAAACAACTTTTTTACTGAGTTTTTTTTCAACATTTTTTAAAATTAAAACAGCCTTTCATTTCATCATTTCTCTGGCAATGCTAATTAGAAAAACAACTTACCCCTTTTTTAGCTTATTAAAATACTCGATTATAACTCTTTTTATTGTATTCTAGAATTCGATCTCAGCTTCACATATTAGAGGATCTTAGTAATGTAAAATGCAGAAATAAAAAACTGAATAAAAAAATAAAATCTAAAAGATTTTTTTAATGAAAAAAAAGATCAACGAAACAGACTCCAGATTCATAAGAAGCAAGTGTGACTGTAATAGCAATAATGCTTTTGGATGGGAGGCAGTACCATAAGCATGAAATTCTACATTTTTTTAAAATTATTTTTACTATTTTTTTTCACTCGGAGTATCCAGTTTTCTATTCTCAGCGTTCATAAAGAAAATCACATTAAACTCAGTTCGGTGAGCAAACGCATTTAATTAAATAGATTTGCGTTTACTTTTCAATGCGTTAATATTTTTTTCCTCATTTCATAAATGCTTGTTTCTGTATACCCTTCATTTTTCGTTCTTTTTTTTCTTTCTTCTTTCTTTCAATCTTTTCCGAAGAAAGAGCGTCATAATAATAATCCTGATTTTTTCCATTGTATTAGAAGCGCAATATTCTTTAGAAATCACATTCTGTGTCTCTAGTTATTTCTCCTGAGAGTTGAAGTGAAAGGAAAAAAAAATAAGATTTAAAAAAGAATTATTTAACAAAGCTATTAGCATTGCAAAAAATATAAGAAGATTTGAATTTGTACTTTATATTCATTAATAATAAAATTTTCAATACAGTTGACTTATATTTCTAGACTTTTATTTTTATTTAATGGTGCTTCATAATTTCAGGTGTTTTTTTCCCCTTAAAAATAAAATATTGTGATAAACGTGACTTAAATAAAATTTTAATGTGCAATACATTCCGTTAAAAATAATAGATGTAAAATTACTTCACTATTTCAAAATAATAAAATAGATAAATGATAAGTGTGGCTATTAAAACATAATATAATTTATTCTAATGATTTATTTTCAAGAAAAGTAGATAAGATCTATTTCAATTGCTAAGAAAAAATGAGAAAAGAAGGAATATGGGTATTATTATATATTAAAATACTTCAAATTGTTGAAACCGCATTTTTTAGGAAAAGAAAATGCATTTTCCTTTAGATTAAATGCGAAATTTTTTACAATCATGCTTTCAATGATCAAATGTCAAAATATCATTGAAAAACACACCAAAATTCCCATACATCAAAAGTTAGAGTTAAAATATAAATGGCATTTTTATATGCTTTGGTATGGTGCGTGATACATTAATTAACTTACTAATTAAAAATCTTATTACTAATTAAAATTAAAATGAACTTCTTTCCATTTTGTTTTGGTTCCTTAAAAGAGGAAAGAAGGTGGTAAAAATATTAAATGAAATGGTGGTAATTTGGCTTTAATGTCTTAAGTAATGTTTTCTTGCAGGCACATGTAATAGCGTACTCTATTAGTCAACATGAAACCAGGAATATTTGATGGCATCTGTAAATTTGTTTAAAATGTCACGTCTCTAAATTTGTTTAAAATTACTCCTAATAAATAGCCATTTGAGTCATAAAACAATAATTCCGGTCTTAATTGTTGTATCTAAAATTATAGTTTATACCCGAACAAACAATATGGATTTAGATATAAAAATAAATATATTACCTGGTATGTATATAGCATTTAAATTTCTGAAATCATCACGAATTTTATTTTTTGAACATTTTGTTTCTATTTTCTGTTTCTTTTCTAGGGGAAAGTCAAAACATAACACATATCTCAGTTAGAGGTCTATTACCAGATACAAGTCAGTTTATGACATACGAAGGCTCCATAACAATGCCTGGATGTCACGAAACCGTAACTTGGATTATTCTAAATAAACCAGTATACATAACAAAAGCAGAGGTATGACTACAATTTTCTTTGAAAATGCTAGTACTTGACTGTTTGTGTTATAATTGCATATAAAATAGACCATATTGTCAACATTATGCCTTTAGTTTCGTTAGCAACCACCATGGCTCCTATAGAGGGTTAATATTACTCTTCACATATAGCTAATAAACAAACCGAAGCAGTGGGATAAATATAGATTCATAAAGGTACAAAGGTTCATCTAAGACAAACAGAAATACTACGTCATTTAAATTTGCTAGTTTTTTTAGGTTTTTTTGAAGTATTTTTACTATCCAAAATAAGACTTTTCCTAATCTGTATTAATTTCATTTCACTTAAAAAAAATTATATAATACTACGTGAGACTTTAAGGAAAAATAAATTACAAATTATACAACAGGAGCATGCTATTTTTAGGTATTTATTTACATGTGGAGGGAGCTTCCGGGCCACAGGTTCAAGGTTCTATCCTCAGACCGGGCAAATTTGTCTCAGCCTTTCATACCTTCAATAGATCGATAAAATGAGTACCAGTCATGCTTGGGTTTTATTAATGTTTAATTGAATTATAATCAATGCATTTTATGATCGAAATTGAATCAATTTTTAGAATGTGAGAACAGTTGAATTTGCTAAAATGACTACCATATTTTTTCCGCTTGGTACAAGGCATTTTGAAAATGAATTAAGCAATTTGAGTTTCATTAAAAATTTTATCTCTTCTCAAGAAAATTTTATCAGCATTTTGCCTACTGTCATTATTGAATAACGTTACATTTCAAATGAAAAGTACATTGTACTTTAGAGATTGACATTCGGAAATATTCTTTGCGTCCTTTTTGCATTTTCCACAGTGAAAATGAATGAAATTAATATACAAGTGCTCCTTGCAAGGATGCAAAATTAGACCTATTTCACTAGCGAAAACTCTAAAATCTGCTGATGATATAAAAATAATTCATTACCTAATGCAACGTATAAAGTACAATTTCAGTGTTAAAACACTTAAAAGGAATTTAAGTTCTAAAAGTATTGATTTTGTTCTGAAGCATTTGTGGAAGTAATTTTTATTGTGTGTTTGGTATTCTTAGTTTTTTTCTTACTCAACCGAAAATTCAAAGAAGCTTTTTAAAAGTAAAATCAATATTACATCATGGAATATTTTAAAATCTCTCTCTAATATTTCATGGATTAAATGAAACCTTTTTGATCACTTTTTAATAAAAATTTAAATCAATATTTTGTCGATAAATTAATATCAAATATAAGTATTTTCTGATAAGTTTATTTGAAGACAAACAATATAGATTGCAACAACATAAGAAAAGCATAATTTTTTGAATTAAACTTTTATTTTGTTCAAACAATTTTAATCTAATTTAAAATATATATATTATTTGCTCTACTGATTACAAAAACTATTATGCTAAATGTAAGTACATATAATTTGCAAAATAAATAAATTTACCTACAAATTTTAAATAATTAATTTATCTATATTTTACATATTTATAACTAATATCTATATACTATCTATCTATAATAATACTAAATTACTAAATATATTTTCTTTTATATTTGAAAAAAAAACAAAATAATAGAAATACCAGCGTTAACATTAAGAAAACATCATTTTAGAATTAATTTTCTTTTTTGATCTAATGCTTTAAATGAATTTTAAACTATAGTTTGTTATTTTCTCCGATAATTATAAAAATTAGTATGCTTAAATTAATTTATATAATAATACTGTATATTCAATATAATTTCAACTACAATGGTGAAATTGTTATGTAATAAAATTAGTTTATTTATGAACCCCATTGAATTTGTTATATTTATTTGCAAAGTGCCGATTCAGAAGCCTAATTGCCCATCTAAAATTTGAAGGAATGAAACTTTATGTAAGAGAATCAGAACCCTTCAACTAGTAAAACAGTTAATGCAGCGCACTTAAGGATTGGCAAATAAGGTTTATATTCTGATTCAAATATTGGTTTTGGGGAGAATTATTTTTTATTCCCTTTCGAAACAGAATAACTAGTTACATTTAAATGTTTCTTTTGTAGAGTCTAACTTTTATAAATATAAGGAAAACTTTTCTGATTGTATTTACTTAGCTTGTCACATAAAATGTACCCTTTTTGATTCAATACACATCGACCAACCATTTGTTTCATTTTTGAAATATTTAAATAAAAATCAAAAATAAAAACGTTTAGTTGTTCTCCTTTCTATCGAACAGTTTTATTTCTTTTTTCGAACTGCATAGGTTTGGAATTTTATGTTTTCATATCATTATATATATATATATATATATATAGACCACTGATATTTGTACTGAGTTAAATATTGCGTTATATCAAATCTCACTTAATAAAAAAGTATCTTAACTTAAAAAATCCAACTATAGAAGTTTGAAAGAAAGTGATTTTTTTTAAAATAATTATTTAAATCGTTATAGTACACTGTTTTTCTATGAACATGAGAATTTAGGAAAAAATAAGAGATTTTTATCACAGACACTGTTTTTTTAGTTTAATGAAATAAAAATTCGTTTGTTTGCTTTATGTTATAATTTAATTATTATATATCTGCTGAAGTAAAGGATTTATGAATTTCGATAATCTCACAAAGAAAAATTATTTAATGTGTATATAAAAATTCAAAATTCAAAGGAATCTCTAGAAAAACTCTTTTTAACTCACAAATCTGGATAATTTCCAAAGATTAAAGTACAAATTTTAGTTTTCTTCAAAACGCGTCAAATGTAATGTATAATTTTGTGAAAAAATAATGAATAGAATTGACAGTAGCCTTTTTATTTATAGAATCCCTATGGTATTGAATTTTAAAAAAAAATAATATTTTTAACGGAAAAATACATTAAATACTTGTATCAGAAAATATGCCTCACTTTTGTTTTTTTCTTATCTTTTAATATGATTATCCAAAAAGAAATAATTAAACTTAAAACAGTTTGAAACCTTAGCAATTAACAGTTTTCAAGTAATATATGAGAAAAATAATTTTTTTACAAAAATCTGTTATTTCTGTGTGAATTTAAAAATATTATTTTTTTAGATCTTGAGATTTCATTACTAAGATCTGTAATTTTGATCAATATAAAAATAGAAGTTTTAGTGGAATATAAACGATATTAACATTTATTTTTTATCGTATATCTAATTTAAAATTTTTATATTAATTGACAGACTACAGTTACTTTGGAATGTTATGTGAGTTCAAAGTAAATGCAAGTATTTGTATTTTTCAAGGTCTGTTATTTTACTGAGAGTCTAATTAGTTCCAATATTCTAAGGATTTAACACAATTAAAAACTAATATTTACCCCTATTCAAGTTAATACAAGATGTACAATGTTACATTTTATTTAGTTGTGCAACTTTTAATTTTATTTTCTGTATTTATTTTCCATATTTATCAATAAACCACAAATACTTCAGGAAGGCAAGTGGTTCAGAATTAAATGCAAGTATTTTTAAATAATAAACTATGTCAAATTAGAATGAGAGTTTAACCTGAATACCATATTTCAGTTGTTCAAAATATTTAATATCATTGATTTTAATTTCTTCTCAATTCAAAATTTGAGAGAAAAAGATCAACGATATTTCGTTTTATATTTGACGTATTTGGCAAGCATGCATTTCTGTACTTTTTGAGAAACTTCAATTATTTTGAAATGGCACGTAGCTCAAAAGTGAAATCATATATTTCTTTTCAAAGATTTATTATTGAAAATGGTGTAAGGAAAATAAAATGCTTTTAACCATTAACTTCAAATATTTTCTAAATATGGGCATATTGCTTGAGTTAGATTTCGTGGCATTTCAATAAAAAATGAAAACCGCTGTTTCAAGAAATGCGAAACAAGAAAATTGTATTAGAAAATCGAATTAAGACAATGCAAATTATTTCCTAGAAAGTCAGAATATGTGAATATATTTTGGAGCAGTTTCAAAGGTGTTGTTCATTAGCCAAAATCAAACATTCCCTTTTGAGAGTATCTCTCATTCATTCGAGTTTTGAACATAAGTCAATTACAGAAAATTATTCAGAAAGCGATATGATAACAAATGAATTCCCACGTGGTAAAGTGGAAATATTCCCTAATTTACTACTTAAGTAATAAATTATAAATTAACTCGAGCTTATCGGTATAGCTTTCAAAATATACAATGATAGAAAAGGCGTCTTAAGTTTCCGAAATGTTAAATAAATTTCGAAAAGCTTAAAATAAATTATTTATTAAAAGACCTCAGAGGTTATTATCAAATGATTAAGATCACACAATTGTTGTATGAAAGTTTTATTTACCCTGCACACTGCAACTTTAATCAAAGACAAATTGCAGCAATATGCGGACTTGTCCGAAATTAATTTGTAACTTATGATACAGTTGAAGCTTGTAATTAACACTAGAGCAGAAAACCAGAAAATTTTAGAATCTCATGGGTCTAATCTAGAATTGAATCAAGTTCGGCTTAATCTATAGTCGCTTATCAGTAAGAACTTACCCCTTTCACTCTACCCTTCAGGGGTAATCTACAGCCTGCAGGTAGAGCAAGCGACATCGCATTTTCACACCCTTTCCTATGAAGGGGGGTATGCACTTCTGTGAATGCAATTAGCTTCACTTGCAAAATTGCTAAAGCTCGTCCGAACAAAGCTTCTCTAGGGTAGAGACAGGGGTACGAAACTGAGCACTACCGTCAATCCAGTTTATTGTTCGTAAACTGTGAAATAGGGAATTGTATCATTTTCGAAAGAGATAATTGGTCGAACGATCGACCACCTTTCCTATTCGATTCTAACCTGAAGACCTAATAAGGGTTTGGTGTTCCCAAAGTAATTTTCGATGCAAAACTAGTGCAGGAAATATTACGCATAAAACTGAAAATGGACTCAGATTTGATTGTTAAGTTAAATACTGATTTTATTAAAATTTTCAACACCTTATACATTAAGATATGATAAAATTACAT